CTTCTGTTTCTTCTGTGCAGGTTTCGCTGCGTGAGTGCTGCACTAGAAGGATAGCAGGGATAGAGTTGGGAAACGGTACCTGGGTATCAGCACCCTCCAACACCGTTCCTGTGCACCTCTGAGCGGGAAAGTGGCACGTTACTGCAGCTGCGGAACCATACACCTCACATATGGCAAGCATCCTCGGTAGCCACTCCACAACTTACCCAGGCATTCCGTCGCAAGGATACCTACTCATAGGCGGTACACCTTGGGGGGGGGGAAGGCACTGTCTCATTGCGCTGACGCAAACGAGCAGAAAAAGGTGTAACCACCCCTCTACCTTTGCTCGTTATTTTAAGAAATGTGCGACATTTGTACAGAACGTATTCGATCTTCACTTGAGCTTTTCACCGACAATAAGTAGCTCACCCACCCCGGAGTCCCTCCCTTGAAAAATCCCGTTTCCTGGCTCGCCATACGTTTTTTGCACGTTTCGATGCTTTGGCAGCCGCTGCCCTCTATCCGTCTGCGTCACAGGGTTTCGTAACAGGACCATGCACAAAAGTTCAAGATGTCACGTAACCTCCGCGATGTGGCAACACTTAAAAACTAAGGTTGGCACGCAGCACCTACTAGCTAATTAACTCGGCTAACTGCAACACTCTTGAGCTAGAGCGAGCACTGGTTTGACTTACGCTCACGCAATCTGACCTGCCCATTGTTTTCGTGGCGACGCCGCACGCCAATCGACCCGGTATTTTAAATGATAGGTGATCAGACGGTGAAAAAAAAACACTACACTTTACTTCATTTCGTCCCATCCAATGACTCGGACGCCAATTAGGCCAGCACCGACGAGAACTGCAAGAACAATCGCGAAGCAGCACAGTTTTTTTGCACAACTGTTCTTTTTTTCCTTGTCGCGCACCTAAAAAGTACAGGAAACCTGCATATCATATAAATGACACTAGAGTCGCCTCAAAACTGTCCTACTTCACCGTATTAGTGAGGAGGGGGGGGGACCACTACACAGAGCCTTTGCGGCCTTTCCTCTTACTATGCTTAGGACAGAGTACAAACAGTCAGCGTCACCGCAGGTCATTCGTGCGCAGCAGGCAGTCTCTACATGACTTCAGTCCTCTGCGCTCTGACCGTAAGTCTTGGTTGAGGTGAGAGACACAGAGACACTGTGTAGTGGTCCCATGCCAGAGAGCAGAGGGTCCTTGAAGCTGTTTTCATACTTTGCGGCAGCGTATACCAGCGACCAATAGCGTCCATCAGCGTCCGACCGCTCGACAGCGTCACTGACTAGGAAAATATAAATATCGATCCAGCGTCTACCAGCGTCGGCACGCTGCCAGCAGCAGACTGCTGGCAGAGAGTATGGGGAAATAGGAGGGTATCACCGGTGTATTACTCTCCTATCGCGCTATACTCTCTAACAGCAATCGTCACCCTCCTATATCCCCAAACTCTATTAACTTGCTACCTTGCTGTCGTCCCATACTCTCCATTCCCGGACGCTATTGGTCACTGGTAGACACTTTCAGACGCTTTGAGACGTTGAATCGATATCTATATTTCCCTAGATATTTCATTTCTTTATTTCCCACGCGGCAGGGAACACTGGAGCGACAGTCGTAATTTTGTCGCGCCACGCGCGCGGCGTACGATACGGCGATGCAGGTGAATTCTTGATGTCTGCTAGTTTGTCAGTTGGAAGCGAAACTCGTATGAATACAAGCGGAGACAAGATTGGTGACGGGCGATATCAAACTTTCCCATCCCTTCGACGCTCAAATATGAGCGAACAGGCCGGACAACTCGTCCGTGGGGCGTGGCGCCGCTCGCCGCGACCACTAGCGCGGCATACAACGATTGTTTTGTCACGTACCCACGCTGCAGTGCTACCAAATCTGCATGTCGGCGGGCTCTCACCGAGAAATATCTATGGGGTAGTTCTAGGCATATTTCGGGCCGGAATTCGACTACGATTAGGAAAATGACGCAGTCTTCTCCGCTATGGTTGCCACGAGCGACAACAATGAGTGGAAAGCGGGCTGGTGCCGTGCCGAAACCAGCATCTCCTCCCCTCCCCCGCTCATCAACCGCCTCCAAACCCCAACAGGAGTGTTGATAGACAATTTGCACTGTCTCAGTGAAAGAGGACAAACATGAGATGACACAGTTGTCTTCCCCCCCCCCCCTTCAACTAACTTTGCTTACGGGGCAAACATGAGATACACAGTTGTCCGTTCCCCCCTCAACTAACTTTGCTTTACTGAGTTCGATTCGAGCTGAGCGTACTCACCACAATGAAGGGCCTACATCATCAAAGTTCCGCGATGAAACTGGCTGCCTATCAAACAACTCATTGCGGGCCTGTGGAAATACAAATCGGTTCATACTCAATGATTCCACTATCATTGACTTACAATATCAGAAAAAAAAACAGCAACTCACATATCTTCCCAAAAACACACTTTTGAAATCCATTTTACATCATCTGCATGGAGGAGCGGCTGTTGCTTAGAATTCCTTTCGCAAGACATTCAAGGCATTGACTACCTCTGTGGATTCTCAACGCCGGCCACGGGGCGGGGGGGGGGGGGGGGCGGAGGAGTCGTGATTGATGGGTTGAGGGAAGGTGTCGTACCATAGGAGGAAGTTTCGAAGTCGCCCAGCGTTAGGGGTGCCCTGGAGACAGTTCCTTTGTGCAAATTGGGGGAATTGGGGTCCCACACCACAACAACAAGGCGTCTGCGTTTTGACGGAATCCTTTCCACTCACCTTTCGCGGATTCTTTTGCCGTCTCTTGCCAGCTGCGTGAGGGAGTGGGTAACAGCTAGGCAGCATAGCGGTCGCCACTTTCCCGTCCAAAACCTGAGCCAGGGCGAACGGCCAAGTTGATGAGCAAGTGAGCACCATGTTTTCGTCTTCATACTCCGCCTCGCATTGCTGTATGGCCAAGCAGGCGCCTAATCATAGTAAAACGCACTGTTTGTCTGCGCCCTTCGACTTCAGGTTGTTCAACCGCGGTGAGCCCTTAAGGCCACCCTTCCCCCGCTGTTTTTATCTTTTGTTCAGACGCCCTTGTTAGTGGACGTGGGCCTAGTGCTGGCCGCCAAGCCACATCTAACCAGCTTCATGGCTCAAAGCATACTCTAGGAATACCGCAACTTCCCAATCGTTAACGATGGCCGCTATCCCGCCTACTGGTCACTGTAACGCCCAGGCACGAGGCCACTGGTCCACTGGGCAATGCAACGCCCGACTTTCACTTCTGAAGGCTTCCTGGTGCTGCGGCTGTTCCGCTGCTGACTCTGTCCAATTCGAATTTTGATAGTGGGGTGATAACGAGAAAGAGCTGACACCAGAAACCGAGAACTCGTCCTATCACACCTTTCCCGCCTTATGCACTCTAACCGACAACGTTTGGTGCGGTTGTAGATCGACGGTATCTCGAGGCAGTTTTTCATGCTTTTCCTTCTTTTCGGGTCAATTTACAGCCTTGCCAAGCATTAACCAGTACAAATATCATTTATGAACGCGGGGCCATGCCTTCGAGTCCTGATAACATTTATGTACACCCGAGAAGCACCCAGCGCCACCCACGCTTTGCCCTTGCGCCGCAATGACAAGCGCGCTCCACGGCTAACTTATCTGCTCTGATGAGAATCACCTGCTTATCCAAAGCGTTTGTTGGTCGAATGTCCCTTGCAGTTCCAAGGTCATTTTAACTACCCCAAATGTATTTCCATTTCCAGCGTGTTGGGGAACTATTGCCATAACAAGTGTTTTTCTTAATGAAGTGAAAAGGTGGTCCGGTTTAGTTATGCCAAATAAATTCGGCAAATTACAGAAACGGGTAGTCAATCTTGGTCAAAAAACCAAATTGTGAGGCACTAACAGGATTTATTTTTTGGCCCATTGTCGTTGGGTTTTGGATTTAGCCATATTCACTTGCTCTTTTGTCCGTGAACAATCTTCAGAGCTTTGGCTCCCAATAGCAGGACCTCCAAAGCAGGCTATCCGAGTGTTAATTGTCACTCTTCGATAGAGCCTCATGGGCCCTGAAATGCTTTCATTTAATTTTTGTAGTTGTTAGATAATTTCTGTCCTTTTCTACTTTGTCATTTTTGACAGACTTCATGAAAAGGCGAATTAACAGTGTTTTCGTGGATTAAATCCGATGCATGGTACAAATAGTCGAGATCAGCATAAATAAAGCCGTGTTCATACCTCGCGGCATTGAAGTATTGACGAAATGGATTAGGCCGCGTTCATAGCTTGCGACCATGAAGAAAGCTGCACTAAAGTTGCCATAAGCTGCGGAAAGTGCGGAACCTGAAGCAAATGCGAATGTGAGAAACCCATGCCCAATAGAATATGTATCGATTTTTGAAAAGAAACATAGCGGAAATGTGCGGAAAGTGCAAGAAACGTGCTGCGCAAACTGCGGGAAACTCTGCCAGAAAGTGGAAAGAAAAGCCAATAGATACGTATCGATTTGATCGATTTGACACTTTCCGCACTTCCGCACTTTCCGCAATTTCTTCAAATCGATACATATCTATTGCTTTTCTTCACATTCGGCATTTCTGCAGATTCCGCACTTTCGGCACTTCTTCACTTTCTTCATGGTCGCAAGCTATGAACGCGGCCTTAGATACGTATCAGTACTGCAGAAACGGATCGATACATATCCCTTCCGTGCCAACATGTTCCACTACATCACCTTTTCGCCAATTTTGCTACTCTTCAATTCGTCAATCTTCACTGTCGGAAGGAGGAGGCGGTCAGGACAATCGCAATCCGCTGCACCGTCGCGTGCGGCGTGATATCGATTTTTTAATAGTCGAATTCAAACGACTGGACGGAGCACTTTATTTCTCCCATGCACTGCGTCGCTCGGCTCGCCGCACGCAGCTTTTTGCGATTGTATTGTGACAGACCCGTCCGGTATAAACGCAGCCTAATAGAGTAGATGGGTAGTATTTTTTTTGTCCTAGAAGAACATGGGACCGAAAAAAGAAACAAAGAAGTACGATTTAAACGATAAAGTTATGTGCAAACATGGTTTGTTCTACTATGAAGCGAAAATCACTGAAATTGCTGAACAAGATGGAGAACCGCTGTATGTTGTCCATTATCAGGTATGTTTCTGCTTTTCGAAACGATTCAGAGGCTATTTTTTATCGTATTTCTGAAGCAGTTCGGCGACGAGGAGGGGCTTTTGCATTTTCGCTACTTGCCATTGAGGTTTCAAGCCATTAAGTAGAGATTTGTGGAATCTTGCGAAGCCAGGTAGTGATACCAGTTGAAATTTGTAGAAACTACTTGTTATGCACGACGATGAGAAGTGAAAGTGCCAAATGCCCCCCTCCCCTGGTCGCGGAACTGCGCCTGAATCTTTACTAGTTAGGTCATTTTTAGTGATTCTGGTATTTTTTCTATTAGTAATCCAAGTGGGTTCAGGGCTGGCACAAGAGGTATGATGAGAGAATAACGCAAAGTGAAACAGCTGACAAATTTCTTCCTTTCACACCCGAAAATGTTGCGAAATGCAAAGTAAGTAAGCCTTTAGCGTTGGCGTTCAATCTATCCATCTATTTCCCTTTTGTATTAGAACAAGGATACGCCGTACGTTGAGGTTCCTCATGCGATGTTAGGGGAGGGGGGTCTTATTTGACTGCCAGGAAAAGTGGGCACGTATCCTAAATTGGAACTCACTCTGGGAGTGTCCTTCAAGGCAAGTTCGACGATTAATCGACAAGGTGTGTAGAATGAAAACGTATCGCATGAAGCATTACTGGACGCTGAAGTTCGGCTAAGGAGAGTAAAATTGCTTCCCCCTCCCTAGCCGAACTTCTTTCAGTTTATTTTGCTAGACCATGCTAAATTGCGCGTCTCGCCCTGTAGATTCTTGTCAAGTGTAAGTGAAGTTCGAGGTATTGCAAAGCTTTACAGAAATTTACGGGTGTCCTCCACTGAAGGTGTATCGGCTGTGATCGATGAGAACCAGCAGAATGCGCTCGCCAAGCCGACCTGCGCCAAATATTGTGCCCCTGAGCAGCGTAGCTCCTGTTCCCAGCTTCTTCAGCCCAAATACCAGATTATGGTGCTTTATACCTTTAATTTCTGTTGTTTCAGAAAGAACTTCAAGAGGCACAATCATCAAAAAATAAAAGGAGGAAAACCAAAGAGGGTAACGAAGACGATGTAAGTTGAGTTTAGATTCTTGTGACGCTTACTAAAGCAGAACTCAGATAAGATACGATATGCTAGTCTGCTGGTTTTACTTGCTTGTTGTAAAACGGAAAAGCTTCGCGACAAAATTGTAGAAGTTGTAAGAGAAGCTAATCTACGGCGCTTTCTTTGGATTTACGTTGTGTAACTGATTACTCACATGAAACAACAGAAATGAGTATCGTAACGTATTCTCTGGAAAGGCCGCTGCTCAGAAAGGAACTCACTCAAAGCATCCTTAATCCCGTTGTACTACTCTAGATTTACTGTTCTGCAATCTTGTAAGTGGAAAGCACCGATAGTTCTTGAATTTTGTTGGAGGGGGGGGGGGACAAAAACACACCAGTTTTTCTGCTTACAATTTTTTTCCTCAACGTGCTGTTTACTATTGGACGCTTTTGGAACTACTCGTCCACATCGATCATTGCCTTTAATCATGACAGTCTTCTAGGGCAGAAAAAGTGACGCAGGCAGTCGTGCATCTACACCTAATAGTGTTCCTCGTTCTGCTCCAGCAACGACTCCGTTGCGAAGTAAGTTTGTTCATTCGAAAAATTTTGCAGTTAGTCTTTTGTATGTTTGTAGTTCAAATTTTATTCTTTGAAATATTCTTTTACAAAGTTTGGCACTGTCGAACTACTACTACACCAAAATCTCGAAAAAAATAATTGGCTAAAACTTTAGTTTCCAGGGGTTTTCCAATTAAACTTGTAAGGTTATCTCTTAACATCTGCGCTATGCTAACGCTTATCAAGGAAAGACGATCCAGGGCTAAGGAGTCCACATTTCACACTTTATTATTTTTTAAGTTTAATGTTTTACAAAGTTTTTATTTTATCCATCAGTTACATATGTACCTCTCTTCATCCTTTATTTTCCTTTCTTATGCCAACAGCTAGAGCTTTACGCGTTTTCATGGCCGTTTTATAGCGCATTATGTGGATGCTTTGTAAATGAATAAATGAATATTTCAGCAAAAATCGCCAAGAAAAGAGCGGAAGCCGGAACAGATGCCCCTGCAGCTACTTCAACTACCAATACTGCAGAACTAGAAAACAAATCACCGATACGTGAACGCGACCCACTTTTGCTTCAGGAACTGGATGTAAGCCTTTTTATTGCTTTTTATCCATTAATCATGGATAAACACTGATCAAACGTCATTCTTTTTCGTATGTTATATATTTCTGGAGACTGATTTTAGAAACTGAACGATATGCCCTCATGCCTACTCCAAATAATTGTCGACGATAGCGACATAATGACGCGTCAACGTATGGTTTCTCGATTGCCGGCACGTTACACTGTGGATACTATCATCAATGACGTAGGGCTTTTTTTCTCATTTGTTTGAATTTTTTATTCACTCGGCTTCTGTGCCCTTTGAAGCCCAGGAATACCTTAAATCGAAGTGAAGTCACCTTAAATGTGGATATGATTAGCCCTTTACTGAATTGGGAGTTACTCCTAAGTGTAAGTCCAATTTAGCTTTGGAGCAGTAATCCAAACTAGGGCGTGCCAACGATGCTGACACGTTCATACCTCGTCGCATTTTGTGATGGTCTCACTAGAGAAGTCCGCCAAATTACCATGGAACTCTGAATGGAGACCTGGGTAGATCGATAGAGTCTATAAGGTTATTTACAAATATAGATAGCAAAACTGCAACCTGCATTTCACAAGCAACTTATGAGCAGGTAAAGTTTGTAATGGTGCAGTAGGGTGGAGGCTTGGTGGTGAGCTGTGAAGCATAAGCGAGGAATCGCATACGTCGAATCGAGTCGGTTCAACGTGTAAGGTTCGAACGTTTGAGGCTGTTCAACTCTCGATTCGACGTATGCGATTCCTCGCTTATGCTTCACAGCTCACCACCAAGCCTCCACCCTACTGCACCATTACAAACTTTACCTGCTCATAAGTTGCTTGTGAAATGCAGGTTGCAGTTTTGCTATCTATATTTGTAAATAACCTTATAGACTATCGATCTACCCAGGTCTCCATTCAAAGTTCCATGGTAAGTTGGCGGACTTCACTGGTCAATACTATCACTTGGCGATTTTCCAAGTGTCAAATTTATCGTTTTTTGATCAGGATTAGCTGGAGGAACTCCCGGGATGATGGAGTTTAACTGTAGCAGTAAGGTATTTGAAGGGTCGCACGGCGTCGTAAGAAACGACTCCTTAGCAGAGTTAGCATCAGAAACCGCTGACGACCGTTTCCTTTAGCAACCTTGTTTTTAGACACTTTTTCATATGATAATGTAGTCAAAAAAATCATATTTATCGATGTTTTCACACTGAGCAGCATTTTTTTTGTTCACCCTGAAGGGATTTTATATTGTAATGGAGTTAAAGTTAGGAATTGCATATTTCTTGAAAATTTGATTATTTTTATGGTGTTTCTCATTTCTTTTTCATATACTCTCTGCCGTTTTCAGTATTGTGCTGAAATTGGATTTTCTCCCAAGGAAGGCGACGATTCTGCTATGGTGGATTCGCCTTCAGGACTGGGCAGTAGTGCAGTTGGATTGCGTGATTTCTTCAACGGCGTTCTGGGGTACGTTCTGATAGTCGTACCAGAAGTATTCTTGTTTCGAGGAATGTGGTAGAATATGGTATTGCGTTCGTTTTGAAAATAGTTCGGCATTATCCAAAGTTTGAATTCGCTTCTACTAGAAAGTGTCGCTTAAGAGATTCACGTTGCGACGACGCGCGACATTCCTACCGGGACCCAACCAACTTATTGCAGTGGTACTAACTGGGAAGTAATCGCTAGTTTGTGCACGTTGAGCAACAGGATTTCCTAACCGATGATTGCGCTCGAACAGCACTCGCTGAGTTCAAACTGATTTCTTGGCTGGAATAAAAAAGGGCTCCGGAAAAGAAAAATAACACCCATTCTTTCTCCCGGAAGATCAATTTTCAACCTCTGGAAATCTTTTGCAGGTACCAGCTTTTGTACAAGTTTGAACGTCCGCAATATGCAGCTGAAATCGAAAAGGCCGTGGGATCCAGCGATGCGGTTAACAGGAAAAGGAAGTCGCAATCATCACCTGGTTTGTCTACTTCATTCAAACATTTCAAAATTGGGCAATTTACTAGCAGTATCATTTCAGACGATGTCGGGAATGCTCTGATTCCGTCGAAGCTATACGGTCTTCCTCATCTGCTTCGGCTCATTGTTAGACTCACCACTCTTCTTCGTGATGTGCCATGGAATGACACTGTTTTCCGGGTAAATTTCACTTCATTTCATTCAGGACATTGGTAGCATCATGTTGAGTAGCCCAAAGCAGTCACCAGTTAACAATCCCTCTAGTTCACCTCTACTTCTGGGCTAGTTTTTTCGCAGATTCATCAAAGTAAAGGAGGCTTCTCGGGCTTTTTTCCTCATAGGGAAAGTCATGCGAAGAATGTATCCCGTCTTTCTTTGCAAAAAATAACAGAAAAGAGACTTCGGCCTTTATAAATCTCCTTATCTGGAGATACTTTCTACCGTCTCTACCCGTCTCTTCCTCAAGCGGGGAAAGAGCGGCGCAGTTCGGCGGATAGGGGCCGACGGCGCAGTTTGGCGGAGGGGGGCGGGGGGGCTTCATCAGTTCTGGTTTACAGGTTTCATTTTGGTGGAACCTGTCAATTCTCCTAAGTTCATGGAATACCTCCCCAGATGGTTCGACACGTCGATGGAAAGTGACAAACGTGCAGAATGCCCCATTCCCCGAACTGCCCTGGAAAAAGCTGTTTTATGCGGTTGACTCTGAACTGTGGGCTCGAGAGTAGAGGTGACCAAGTCCCTTTAGGTATCATAGCTCTAATCTAGATTTACATTTCAAGTTAGAGCAGTTCAAGTATCTCAGTCCGACTTCAGATTTTTAACGTTGACATTGCAGGATATCATAAAGTGTACACAACATCTGGTCGGATTTCTCGAAAGGAATTACAGAAGTACTATAGTATTGAGAATGACTACGAGAATACCGATACCAAAAACAGCATGGGCATCGACATCGTGAAGCATTGCTATTGCTGAAGCAATTGATGCCAGGGCTGTTCTATTTACAGTTTCATTCGCTTAGGAGGAAGGGGCGTGCCAGTGAGGCTGGGTTTGCCGCACCGCCAGGTCGCCGTTTACCAACTGTTGAAGCATTCAGGCGATGAGAAACTTAATGAGGGGGACGGGGTGTTGGCGCGCCCAATCCGACTTTACTGGCACGACCCCGTATCCGCAGAGAACAAAGTAATTTTGTGTATGTCGTTATTGCATTATTCGTATTTCAACATTCTCTGAAGCGTAAAGGTCTCATGGTATGATAGGTTTGTCTAGTAGGTTAGAAGCTGATCACAATGCGCTATGCAACCATTTGCAATACTGAAGGCATAGTCCACGTTTCGGTCGTTTGTGTGTGGAGGAGGTCCTATCAATGCAGCCCTCCTCATTCTCAGCGTGCGCGACTTGCTATAAGACAGGTGTGCAATGAACGAAAGCCCAAAGTTAGGCTGGAACCCGCCCACAAATGGTGCACTGTGCGCTGACCGAGGTGCATCCTTTTTTTTTTTCTGCGTTTTTTTCAGTGTATATCGATAAGTTGGTGCAGTAGGTTCTTATAATACTGCTTTTTATTTTACTCAAATTTCGCTACGAAATACGGTTTATCTGGTATATTTTATTCTCTTTACACTAGGGTTGCTAACTTTTATTTTCTGTATTTTTTTTTGTTCATGTTTACCCATAGTCGTGTATAGCGCTATTGTACATTCGATGCTATGAGTACCTCGTTACAAGGTATTTAGATAATGCAGTTGTTATTGCCTGTGAAGCATCCCATCACCGCATTATATTTTTTTTGTATGAGTTGTAATAAGTTCCGATGGCTAAAAGGCGTATAAACCATCAAACACAGTCTGGAAAGGGAGTAAGAGAAAGGAAATGCTGCCGCGGCCCCAAACTAGCGCTCGGTGGCGCCAAATGGAGTGGGCGCTATAAGAGTGTGTCATAATCACGATCGGGACACCGAATGGCCTAACTAGATCAGTCTTTCAGCGATTTGTTTTTGCGGCGCGAGTTGCCATTTCTAAAGCCATTAAAAAATGTCTTACAAATAATCTACCGGAGTTTTTCATGGCCCAACCATATGAAAGAATTCTTACTCCACAGGGATATTCAACAAAAAGAATTTGCGCAACCTCAAAACAGCTTCTGTCGTGACAACCATGTGCTCACGCGGCTACAGGGAGCAGACAGCGTGTGACACAACGTGTGTGTCAAACGGTCCGGAATGTGTTAAGCCGGTCGCACTCGGAAAGTTATCGCAAGAGTGCTGAGTTATGGGCAAGTCATGACTGGCGGAACTTCTGCCCAGATCTTATCAGCTGTCGAAAGTCTGGGGTCAGCTTTCAGGGGCGTGCTGAGGGCCGTGGTGGTAGCGCAGCGCTCTATGCTTGACCGGCGTGCGCACGACGTTATTTGTAGCTTTGTAGCGTCTATCCCAGCTTCAATGAGACTACGGTTGGTACTGGGTCTGGCCAGGAAGGAGTGGTAGGTTGAAGTGGCTGTTTAAAATGAAGCCTTCACCGAGTGATGAGTCGGGAAGGTCGCACTTGGTCCCATCCCCTGTCCGCATAGTTTTTCGAGAAGAAACTGGAGAATTACAGGAAAAAAAACAAAAAGGAGATGGGGGAAAGTCATAGCAAAGCGGAAAATTTTCGAAGGAGCCGAATTTTGCAAAAAAATTTCCCAAAGGTAGGACGTGCTCTGCTCTCAGCGCAGTGCTTTGAGCAATAATTCAGCATTCTTATCATAGTTGATAAGGCTGTTGAAAGCGAGATAAATCCACAGTTTGATATCCTTATGAATGTTCCCGGTGTTCATGGTGTTTCATTTTAACTCGTTATTTTACCGATGGTGGGTATGCATCTACTCTGTACAGGGACCTGTAATGGCTCCTACATTTTGATTGTAGCAACGCTTTGGTTCCCAGCTGGAGCCTTTTAGTAAGATTTGCCGCGTTTTAAGCACACATGAGTACTCTAAGAGAACAGTTAGCAGACTATGGAGTTTATCCTGCCAGCTATTAATATCAAATGCGTCCTGATGCAGGATTCATAATGGATAGAGGGCCCATTCGAGTGCTCAGTTTTCAAGTTCTGATTTTGAACAAATATTACGGTTAAGGGGCGCGATAAGCTTCTCAATCCTTGGTTTTGCCAAAGCCAGATTTCCCGCAAAATGTTCTCCGCCTTCAAAACCGTTCCATAAGCTGACTTGTTACTGTAGTTATTGCTGTATATGCAGCCTGCAGTGCAATTGACACAGTTTCAGTCTCATGAAGATTCTAAAGATTCCAAGGAAGTGTCGGTCAAAGCAAGGGCTCGAATCAGAGCGGAGAGCATACCAGTGAGTATTCTCACTTCGTTAAATAGTGATCGTTCAAAAAAGCTTCAAGGAACGTACCCCGACCACAAATGGAGGGTTGTGACTGCAGTATAGATTCCAAAGTAGTCAGTAACTCAGCAGAGAAAGCAGGGAACTCTGCCCGGTGTGCAGAAGGATTACGAAATTACATTTTGTGGATGCATGAGCAAACGGCTAAGGAGGGCGCACTTGGCCGTATTTCAACCCACGAAAATGGGACATCCTCGTTCGGTGGCTGCTTGTGGATAGGACACAGCCGACCAAGAGAGGCCGTCTCGTAACAGAAATGCTTACCTACAGTGTACCACAAGTGTGGTTAATGCGGGGGTTCCCCTGGTGCATTTCGGAGCTCTTGAATCGCTACCTTTTGTCGCTGAGTGGCCGTCACGAGCCTTTATCCGGATGCGTCTACTGTGTTCGCTTTAATCTAGCGTGCATCAAGTGCGCTGTACTACGCTCCCCCCCCCCCTCCCCGTCATCTAGTCTTCCTGGGAAAAAGTTAGGGGGTCTGGAGCATTCAGAAGAAGGGCAATTAGGATGGAGGATCTTGTGGGGGGAGGGGGGGGGAGAGTTGTGCTGAAATTCTGAGGGATGGGGGAGGTGGTGTTCTTGCCCTATCCGCATTGTATCCACAACATTCAGAATGCATAGTCCTTTGCAAAAACAACTGACAATGAGTAAGCACCTCTCTGGGAGAACTAAAGGCTTGCGCTTGTCGTATGGGTGAAACCAGGCCTATCATTGTGCTTCACTGATTGACACCCTCCTCTCCAATGTATCAAGGAGCAGCGCACCAGCAAGGAATGTGCAGGCTGACTGGCTCCTCCCATACGACCAGCATGGGCTGCTCCTTTGAGCGTGGTGATGAATATATTCCAGTTGGCTCGTACACAAAGTGATCACGCTGACAACTATTATGCGAATCTCGATCCTGATAAATTAATGAATGCATATGGTTTCGGAAGGTACGTTAAGTTCTTCTGTCATATGAAATCCTGTGTGCAGGTTTGCCAGGCAAGTGGCGTTGCTTGAGCGAAATATGTCCCGGATTCTGATCCTTGCCCCATCTCCTCCCTTTGGCGCCTGAACCTTTTATCCCTCTCAGCTCAGATGAATTCTGCTGCAATTGAAGCGATTCCGGAGGTGCAAAGTACTGCGGATGAAGGGCGTGTCAATGAGGCTGGTTTGGCACGCTCCAGCCCATTCTTCCCCAGCTGCAGCGAGTAAGCGATCACAAGACTGGCGTCGAGACTTCCGGGCGAACTGGACGCTGCTTAGCGCATAGCGCTGCTCTCTTGTCTGGGCCTTATTGGTTCACCTTTGAAGTGCTAACTTATCAACCGCTTTGTAAAGAGATACTAATTGACCAGATTCTGCGCACCGTAGCAATACGGATCTCGCTATCTACCCTCATTTTCGCTTCTCCGTCAATCTGTAATCCACCACTTCAATTTTAGTTAGTGATTCAGGGCTTGGGGACGGGCCATATTCCAACGGGGCTC